TTCCTTACGCCTAAAGTTAGTGTTTGCTAAGAATAGGCGGTTGTCTGAGCATACTTGCAACAGACGGTCACCATTGTCTGTTCTCTGAACCGCGACACCATAACATCCACCTAGGTGTCTTTCATTTTCACTTAGTCTACCTACTTCAGCATTAAAGTCACCAGCCATTATTACGATATCAGAGTGCCTAACTTTTTGGAAGAGGTCCGAAAGCTTTCCGTAAAACTTATCTTTCACTCGTCTGAACTGCAGTCTGTGGGGGCATATTCAGATACGATGAACAGGCAACGGCGATTGTCCCTATCTTTCCGAGTCCGTACTGTCCCGTTTAGTCGGACAGCGCACAATCGACTATCTACTGAGATCCAGTCAAGGAGAGGTTGTTCAGCTCTATGACTCAATGCTATACCTAAGCCAGCAAGACCCCTGGAAGCAGCATCAGGGCTACCGGATACACGAAGAGTAAATCGAGTTGCTTCTTTATTTTGACAAGGTGAAATCAGATTAATAATTTTACTAGGATCCTGTATGCGCGTTTCCAGGATGCAGCACACATCGATGGCACGAGATTCTAAAGTCCTAGCTAATGATGCCTGTTGCCCTATTTGACACAATGTCCGTACATTAAATGCTCCAACATGTAGTCTAGAACAAGGTTTCAAGAGACCAGAAATGACGTTTCGTGAACTCGCATAGTTTGCATTAGCGGTGCAGTGAGATAAGGGAATGTGAGTAGATTTAGTTGTGGAGAGATGAGAGGTATGTTTGGGTGTAGGAAGGATTTGATTGTGACAGATTTGGTCTCACGTGCTATTACGGGTATGAGGGTGGTTGTCACTTCCCGGCTGCCCACACCGTGGAAGGTTGTTTCTTGAGGAACCTGAGAAGGAAGATAGATTATTGTTGGTGCGTGACCGCAGAGCCCAAGGGAAAACTGCTTGAGGCCGGTCACGCACGGCCTTTTTATGAGAAGTTTTTTTAGTATTAGCTCCGCTCTTGATAGCCCTTAGTGGACAGTCCTTACCGCTGGAGACGGAAATCCGTGAGGTATCATTTTTAGGATCGACCTTTTTAACCTGTTCCTTCCTTTCTTGTGAGAAGGCAGCATCGCTCAGATGCTGTTTGTGTAAGGGAAAAATCTTACTGCTGTCACACCCCTCTACAGTCAGCAGTACGACTTCGCCCTCAGACTTTGAGTAGCTGCTTTTAGTCTCATCGTTCTCCAATCGACCTGCCTGGCATGGTAGAACCTTCAGGAACATATGTTCCAGCCAATATAGCTCGGTTGGGTTATCAGGATAGGCTAGCCTGATCACCACATCAAGGTAGCAGCTACGGTCGGGCCAAATGTAGAGTACTTATGGAGGACTATCAGGGACCTGTGCTGGGACGCTTTGTGGTAAATTTTTAACAATAGTTGAAACGTTTGTGTATCTGGACAGTTGTTGAGTACTAATAATGGCGTAAAGAATGCGATCAACCTACCTTAAGGGAAGCCAGAGCAAGTTGTTTCGGCTTGAGACATATATAACGCCATTGTAATGTTCGTCTGGCTTTAAAAGTCGGACCTCCAACTCATGCAGAAGTTTTACTATGTACCTGAAAAATTTGGGCTGCGAATTGAGGATTATCATTTGGTAACACTATCTTAAAACACCAACTTCAGCGAACTGGATGTTTTACGAGTGTCATTTCAGAGACCGTCATGTCGTGCATTATTTGCTGAAGCTAGAACTGGTTGTAAAACACCAAAACGTGATAAGTTTATTATATGGGTCTGCGGTATAAGACCAACATCTATCACTACACTACAACTCCGTAGTTAGTGTTCTGGAGATGGTGCAGCTAAATGGCTTAAGGTGTTATCAGATATTGCTCATAATAGAAGTGAATTGCAATCTGGCCGTAGTTTACTTTCGCAGTCTTCATAAGCAGTAAGAGGAATACTTTTGACTGAAAATGATTCTTCCTGGTTGTATTTATATTTTTCTGCTGAAATACTGCCATCGTTCATTTATTTTTATACTTTTATTCGTTTTTGACATTAACCTTGTCAGTCGATCAGTCAGTTACAAAGTAGAACTTTGTACGTACGTACATCAGTTCAAGTTGCCATACCACATAAACACAGACGAAATTGTCTTTTTGGATTCCGTAGTTAGAAGTAGGATAATACTAGCAGTAATCGAAGAGATTAGGGTTCGAGGATATTACTCAGGAAGTAGAATCTAGTGGAATGAATTTAAAAAGAGAAAGGTGATGAGGAATTCAGAAGATTCGAAATTGAGAGTAGACAAAAACTGGATTCACCTGCGCCATTGCAAACGATTTTGAGCCATGTCATTCAAGGTCTCTAACCACCGGTTACTATCATCTCGCGGATTCAAACCAGGTATTCTACACTTGCGAACATGACTGAATGCAGTTGTCAGTGACTTTATGGATTTCTGCCACGTTTTGGTCTGGCCTCCCTACTTCTCTTCCAATCTACTCCTACACCACAAAACATCGCTCGTCGATGGTTAGGCATACGAACCACATGTCCCAACCACCTCAACTACTGAAGTTTCAATACTTCATCTATTGATCTACCATCCCTACCTAGTAATCGTCTCCTGACGATAGTATTGCTTACTCGATAGTCCCAGGATACACGAACAATGCTTCGAAGACATCTATGATCGAGTATTGATGACCTATGAATATCCTCTACTCTGACTGGCCATGTTTCACAGCCATAAAATAGAACAGAGCGAACTGCTGTGCAGTAAACTCGTGCTTCGAATGGCAGACAAATATCTCGCCTGGTTCATAAGTGACGCAAGTTGGCAAAAGCCAATCGAGCTTTCTGTATTCGTGCTGAGATTTCGTCAGTCACTAAGCCATCAGCACTGATGAAACTCCCCAGATAAGTGAAGAGGTCAACATGCTCATCTGCTTCCCTGTCTATCACTAGTTCAGGTGGCGTTGGGGACCAATCTTGAAGCAACATTCTGCGCTTTGAGGGGGAGAATCGCATGCCGAACATGCTTGCTTTGTCGCTTACGGTGGTCAGAAAACTCTGCATTTTGTCATTGTCCTCACTAAATAGAACTACATCATCGGCATACTCTAAGTCAGCAAGCGTGTCTCCTGGTAGGAGGTCCACCCCTGAAAAGTCAGACGAAGACAATGTCGACTCTAAAAGCATATCATCGACAAAGTTAAACAAGAATGGGGAGAGTGGACAGTCCTGACGGACACCACTTGAAGGAATTCCGATGACAGTTAGCCATAAGCTGTCAATCGACCATTGGTGTTCGAGTAGAGTGCTTGTATAGGGTTAGTGTACTTCTTTGGTACGCCTTTTGATCACAGGCACTGCCACAGAACCTCACGATCAACAGAGTCAAATACCGCTTTATGGACGCCTAAATGTGGGTTTGTGTTTTAGGACTTGTCTTAGGGTGGATATGTGGTCTATACATCCACGTCCAAGTGTAAAACGAGACTGGTTTTCTCTAGTCTGTTCTTCACGATCTCTCTTTGGGCGTCTAAGTATTGTCGACGCTAACAATTTAGACACTTTACTAGTTAAACTGATTCCTCTGTGATTGTCACAAAAAAGTTTTGTTCTTATAAATTGTGACAATCAGTGATTGGGACCAGTTGGATGGGATTTCGCCCACTTAGCGAATTCTACCTAAGATCTCAGTCAAACTCACTGCTAGAACTGGACCAGTATCCTCAAAAATCTCAGATGTAAACTTTTCAGGTTCTGCTGCTCTCCTTCGCTTCAGATTTCCTATATCTTTCTCAAGTTCATCAAGACTCGGAGGACTTACATCTATTTGCCATTCAGGTTGACAGGAGATCGAGGGCAACTGAAGTTTGGTTAAATAGAATCCTGAAGTCTTCTGCCCATCGATCCGATCTCCGGGATTGAGAATAAATGGTAAGGTGCATCCTTTTCCGAAACAGTGTCACTTTACCCCTTGTATCTCTTCACATATTCATTCTCTTATTTGTGTGTTGCATTTTTATCTTGATCCCTATTTTTACTAGTATCTATGCTTTAAATAAATAGTTAATGAAACAAGTAGGTTGGGCATACTTTTTTAGTCAGATTTTTATGACTCCGTCCAGTTGTGGTAAGACAAGTTCTCTGTTTTTCTTATCATTGAAAACTTATCACTGCTGTCACAACTCAGTACGGTTGATAGTGTATCGCACCTTAGGTATGCCGCTTTCAGTCGTACTTTAATCCAACCTACTATTCTTAGATTATAAAACCTGAAAGAAACTCCCACATTAAACATTACAGAAAAGGTTTTTGAGTAGTCTTTAGTAGTTCAATATGTCCACCTCACCTTACACATTCTCTTGTGAGATGTTGCAAAATTCACAGACTGATGCACACTTCGGTGTACCAATATATCTGGTATAAACCATCACTAATGCTTCGTATTGTATTAGGAGATATGTTTATGATAAATTAGTACTTTTGAAACCTTGGGTGTGAAAATTTTTTCAATAATCTTTTTCGTTAAGTTTTTTATTTCAGTTATGGTAATGAAAACTAACTCAAACTTTTCACTATAGTAGTTCCCTCCATTTTTGCTAACAGAAACAGTCCATTGTCAAGACCAGTTTGGGATGTTTATATTCAAACCCTACTGTAAGTATGAATATTTAAATAGATAAAGATAAATTATTTGCTAGTCCAAAACTCAGTTTTCCATTTTCAAGATTGATAATAAATTACTCGGATATCTTTCTTGTTGATGTAACCAATTTCAAAGTATCATATATAGCTAGTTCTTCAGCGAAGTTAAACTGTGATACATCACCCGTCACTCTACGAGCATAATAAAAAATTTCACGTCTCCCAAAATATTACGTTTTGCACGTAAACATCTGCTCTAAGTAACCGGCATATTTTTTTTCATTAATCCCTTTCCATAAAGGAAATCAGAATATGTGGGTGCATATTTTACTTATAATAATTCTTATTGTTGTAGATACATCTCTAGAAGCCTTCCAACTATGTCGATGCAACCTGGACAGTTACGACGTGAACAGCCTATACAACCTTCTTCGATTCAGAAGGTAATTTATCCACAGTTAGATGTTTAATAGTACTCTTTCTGATTTGATTTAAAGTTATTTGAATAATCCACTTCTAAATAGTATAAACTGATTTGGTATTTTTAGTTAGCCAAAACCTCAGATATGCAGTATTTCATGTTATTTTATTGGAAGGCTACTGTTGAAAATTCCGGAAAAAATTAGGCGACCATCGAATTAAAATACAAACACTTCATAGAGACAGATTGTAAATTCAACTAATCTATTTATCACCGTTTTTAAATTTTTATCTCTGTTGTGGAATATACGTAATTGATCCAGAGTCCCCGTATTCTTTTTGTTATGATAGCCATTTTACCCTTTGAAGAAAAAATATATACTGGATTCATTGTTCAGTCGTTCGGACGTCTTGTTGACGATATATGCTAAAAAATACTAGACATTTTCATAGATTTCTACCTCCCAATATCCAGATATCGATTAAACTTATAGCCTTGTTCTACTACTGGTTTTACAACTGGCAACACTGTTTTAGTTAATATAATAAACATATACCTTTCTAAGTGATCCTTTCCACGGTGTTTCATTTTTATGTAAGTCATTCCACTATTTGATATTTTTCACCATCTGTTTTCAATTTTTATACTTTCGTTAACCTACCTTTTAAATTCCATCAATATAGGCTATTGTATTGTATTTCACGCAGATTCATTTTCAGGGCGTTTTTTTCATTGGACTTTGATATTTATGAGTTTGGTAACTATTCAGTTCGACAACTTGGTATGTTCTTTCTTATAGATGTTAGATGAGAACGTCCGACTAATACATAGTCTTATGGCACATCAAAGAGTTGGAGCCGTTAAAGAAGCAGCGGAACTAGAACGTGTTTTACATCGTAATCTTATATATTTAGCTACAATAGCTGATCGTACAGCAGTACAACCTGCAGTTGGACCACCAGTTCCCTCTGGTTTGAATCAGGCAAATCAAATCCAAGACTCGGCACCAAATTATCCATTATCTGCAGTTAATGCATCACCAGATTTGTCTCAGTCGTCTGTTTTTGGACAACCTCATCAAATTGCAGTTAATTCATCGGTTCAACATCCAATACCTATGCCAGTAGGTCCTACAGCAATATCTACAGTTGGGAATCCTATTATGTATCAGCAGTATCTTGTTTCTTCTGCTTCCCATGTTCCGAATAATTTACAAGTTACAGCACAAAATCACATGACAATAGGAGGCTCTGGTCAGTTTCAACAACATGAACGTGTGATACAACATTCCGATGGACAAGTTCCACCTGTTGAATCGAATGGTAATATTTGAAACATATGTAGATAACGTCTATTGTTATTAACACATTTTAAAGAAATTAACAGTACTTCATTCCATTATGTCTCTTTGGTATATTTTCCAAAATATATTTGCTAATATTCCAATGTAGCCTTAGGATTCTACGGATTGGTCAAAAGATCTAGGGTGAATTTATACACACTCTTCTGATCGATTTTCAGTCAGTCAACTACAACGTGGAACTTCGTACGTACGTACATCAGTTCAAGTTGTCATACCACATTAGCACACAGAGATCGAATTGTCAATTCGAACCCCACAGTAGTAGAAGTAGTGGAAGTATTAGCAGTAATGGAAAAGATTAGGGATCGATGATATGACTCAAGAAGTAGAATCCAGCAAAATAAATTTAAAAAGAGAAACGATCATGAGGAATTCATAAGATTAGAATTGGAGAGAGGACAAACAATGCATGTATCTGTGCCATTGCAAGCGGTTATGAGCCATGTCATTCAAGGTCTCTAGCTGAGAAGACTGAGGCAGGCGCGATAGATTGTATTAAGCAAATGTACACTCTTAGTCAATTAAAAACGAAAACTTTACATTGAACACTATTTGCACACCATCTTTTTGAGTCCTGACTTCCAACGCTCCAGCTTTCTTCCATTTCGGCTGTTGCTTCCTCTACTTCCTGTCGGTACTCCATTTACTTCTTGCTTTTGCTCCATTAGCTTTCCGTTTTCCTCTTGTGACCGTGAGACTTCTTCTTTTACGTCCCTTCTTATACTACTTATATCGTTCGTATAAGTAGCACACACCAATAACCACTGGTTACTATCATCTTGCAGACCCCAACCAGGTAGTATACACCTACTAACATGGCTCAATCAAATTGTTGTTGACTTCAGATACCCGTAAAAAATCCGACCGATTTTAGAACTTGGATAAAAACTTTAACCTTTTACCTTCAGCATATAATCTTACTTACGCCTGTTACCCCCAATGGAGCATAGGCCGCCCACCAGTTTTCTCCAACCAACTCTGTCCTGGGCTTCCCTTTCTAGTTCTTTCCATTTTTTTGTTCATTCTTTTCATGTCTTTCTCTTTTTGTCGGTGTAATGTGTTCCTTGGCCTTCCTATTTTCCTTTTACCTTGAAGGTTCCATGTGAGGGCTTGTCTTGTGACGTAGTTAGGTGGTTTTCTCAGTTTGTGTCCTACCTACTTCCACCACTTCTTCCTGATCTCCTCCTCCACTGGAGTCTGGTTTGTTCTCTCCCACAGTACGTTGTTGCTGATAGTGTCTGGCCGTTGAATCCGAAGTATTTTGCGAAGACAACTGTTAATAAATACTTGTATCTTCTTCCGTGTTTCCCTCCAGACGTTGACGTCTTCATAATCCAGTCGATCACCAGGAGAAAGAGTGAGAGTAAGCAACCTTGCCTGACACCGGTCTTCACCTCGAAAGAATCTTTCAGCTTACCTCCGTGCACGATTTTGCAGTTGAATCCATCATAAGAATTCTGTATGATGTTAACTATCTTCTCATGCACGCCGTAGTGTCAAAGAAGCCTCCATAGTGTTTTCCTGTCCACGCTGTCGAATGCTTTCTCGTAGTCGATGAAGTTGATGTAGAGTGGTAAGTTCCATTCAATTGATTGTTCCACGATGATCCGTAGTGTTGCAATTTGGTTGGTACACGATCGATCCTTACGAAATCCAGCCTGTTGATCTCGAAGTTGGGCGTCTACTAAGTCCTTCATTCTGTTTAACAATACCCTGTTGAAGATTTTGCCTGGTATTGAGAGAAGAGTGATGCCTCTGTAGTTCTCACACTTGCTGAGATCGCATTTCTTTGGTATTTTGATGAGGTATCCTTCTTTCCAATCTGATGGTACTTGTTCCTCATCCCAAATGTTCTTGAAGAGGATGTGAAATATTTTGGCAGTCGCTTCCACGTCTGCTTTCATTGCCTCTGTTGAATGTTGTCTGGTCGTGCTGATTTGCCGCTCTTGATTTGTCTGATGGCCATACTGATCTCCTCAATCGTAGGTGCGCCAATATAATTAGGAGGTCCGTGGGTGCTTCGATGTTGGGTGTGTTCAGTGGAGCTGGTCAATTCAAGAGTTCCTTAAAGTGCTCTACCCACCTATTTCGCTGTTGTTCAGTGTTGCTGATTACTTTGCCTTCCTTGCTTTTCACTGGTCGTTCTAGTTTACGATGGTTTCTAGCGAGCTTCTTTGTTGTTTCGTACAATTGCCTCAAATTTCCGTCTCTTGCAGCCTTTCAGACGTCATTGCAAGATCTTCCACATATTTTCGTTTGTCAGCTCTGATGCTCTTCTTCACTTCCCTGTATGCAGCTTGTGCGGTAACTTTCTCTGCTCTTGTTTGGCTGACATTGACTGCTGCCCTCTTGTTCCTCCTTTCTTCAATGTTTTCAAGAGTACCAACAGAGATTCATTCCTTGTGATGGTACTTCTTGTGACCCAGAACCTCCTGACATGTTGAAGTGATTGCTTCTTTGATCCCTTTCCAATTGTTCTCCAAGGTTGTTTCCTCTCCATTGAGTAGATCTTGAAAGGCCTGGAATCTATTGCTGAGGGCTATGTTGAATTCGTTGAGTTTTACGGTATCCCGAAGAAAGGCTGTATTAAACCTCTGTGATGTTGTCTGCCCCGTTGTCCAGTGCTTCTTTAGTTGTAGCGACCAGCAAGTTGTGATCTGAGGCTATGTCAGCTCCTCTCCTGGTTCTCACATCCTCCATGGTCCTTCTGAACGTTTTATTGATACAGATATGGTCGATTTGGTTCTGAATAGTGTGGTCCGGTGAAATCCATGTAGCTTTGTGTATGCGTTTGTGTGGGAATATTGTGCCAGCGATGACCAGTTTGTTGAAGGCACATAGGTTTGCAGATCTCACCGTTTTCGTTCCTCTCTCCCAATCCGTGTCGTCTCATGTTGTCTTCATATCCAGTGTTGTCCACTCCAACCTTGGCATTTAGGTCACGTAACAGAACGGTCAAGTCCTTTGGTGAGCATCTGTAGACCATTGACTGCATCCTCTTGTAGAATTGATCTTTAATGTCGTCACTATGGTATTTGGTAGTTGCATAACATTGGATGACGTTCATTGTCATGTCCTCTTTCTTTGTTTTGAAGGATGCTTTGATGATCCTGTTTCCATGAGATTCCTATCCTATCAGTGCCTTTTGTGCTTATTTGGACAGCATCAATGCAACTCCTTGTGTATGTGCAGCATTTTCCTCTTCATGACCAGAGTATAACAGCAGTTTCCCTGAAGGTAGTCTCAGTTGTCCTACCTGTGTTCAATGTGTTTCACTGATACCGAGCACCTCGAGGTTGTATCTTTTCATTTCTGCCGCAACTTGAAATAGTCTTCCAGTCTCCCACAATGTTCGAACGTTCCATTTGACTAAAAGAATGGTTGCTCGTGACTTCCGACGGAACTCGGCTTTCATCACGAGACGTCATAATTCTTCTTCCAACTCCCAGGGCAGAGTTAAAATGGTTTGAATTATTTTTTCTGGTTCTCGTTTTTTTGGCAAGTTAGTTTATAGTTGGGTTGTAGTCGCCAACCCCATGTCCAACCCTCCTCCTTTATCCGAGCTTGGGACCGGCAGTAGCCCCAAAGGTTCTATTGGCGGAGTTAGCATACAATCTTGGTTGACTTTAATGACATCTAACCAATGATTGTCTTTAAATATATATACTATATTTTGTTTGAGGACCCTATCAGTTAACTCATACTCCGACTTATATCTCAGTTTGGGGTAGCCTGTATCTGGACATGCGTGGTTACCAAAATAGTATTATGAAATAAAGACTAAAGTAAGATAAATCACCATGTTATCATAACCATTAATGATAAAGGATATTCGTTGGTTACTAGCATTCGATCATAGGTATCTTAAAAGCCTCGCTTCTGTATTCCCGGTTCACCAAGTAAGTGATCCATTGCTAACGAATAAGGTGTTAAGTAAAGATAACAAATCGATTGTTGAAGTACTGAGTCTTCATCAACTACGATTGTCGGGACATGTTACGAATGCACAACCACTAAAAACATCGATCGTAGCTGCCACCTTGACATGATGTTCGAGCTTGCCTATCGTGATGACCCAACCGAGCTATATTGGCTGGAACATATGTTCCTGAAGGTTCTACCATGCCAGGCAGGTCGATTGGAGAACGATGAGACTAAAAGCAGCTACTCAAAGTCTGAGGGCGAAGTCGTACTGCTGACTGTAGAGGGGTGTGACAGCAGTAAGATTTTTCCCTTACACAAACAGCATCTGAGCGATGCTGCCTTCTCACAAGAAAGGAAGGAACAGGTTAAAAAGGTCGATCCTAAAAATGACACCTCACGGATTTCCGTCTCCAGCGGTAAGGACTGTCCACTAGGGGATTTTAAGAGCGCAGCTAATATTCTAAAAAGCTCTCATAAAAACGCCGTGCGTAACTGGCCTCAAGCAGTTTTCCCTTGGGCTCTGCGGTCACGCTCTCAGGTCGTTAAGACCAACACTAATCTACCTTCCGCTTCAGGTTCCTCCCACAGTTTGGGCAGAAGGGAAGTAACATCTGCCCTTATACTGTAAAAGTACATGGTCGATTAACAGCTTATGGCTAACTGTCATCGGAATTCCTTCAAGTGGTGTCCGTCAGGACTGTCCACTCTCCCCATTCTTGTTTAACTTTGTCGATGATATGCTTTTAGAGTCGACATTGTCTTCGTCTGACTTTTCAGGGGTGGACCTCCTACCAGGAGACACGCTTGCTGACTTAGAGTATGCCGATGATGTAGTTCTATTTAGTGAGGACAATGACAAAATGCAGAGTTTTCTGACCACCGTAAGCGACAAAGCAAGCATGTTCGGCATGCGATTCTCCCCCTCAAAGCGCAGAATGTTGCTTCAAGATTGGTCCCCAACGCCACCTGAACTAGTGATAGACAGGGAAGCAGATGAGCATGTTGACCTCTTCACTTATCTGGGGAGTTTCATCAGTGCTGATGGCTTAGTGACTGACGAAATCTCAGCACGAATACAGAAAGCTCGATTGGCTTTTGCCAACTTGCGTCACTTATGAACTAGGCGAGATATTTGTCTGCCATTCGAAGCACGAGTTTACTGCACAGCAGTTCGCTCTGTTCTATTTTATGGCTGTGAAACATGGCCAGTCAGAGTAGAGGATATTCATAGGTCATCAATACTCGATCATAGATGTCTTCGAAGCATTGTTCGTGTATCCTGGGACTATCGAGTAAGCAATACTATCGTCAGGAGACGATTACTAGGTAGGGATGGTAGATCAATAGATGAAGTATTGAAACTTCAGTAGTTGAGGTGGTTGGGACATGTGGTTCGTATGCCTAACCATCGACGAGCGATGTTTTGTGGTGTAGGAGTAGATCGGAAGAAAGGCAGGGGCTCCCTAGCCATCATATGTCACCTGTCTCCTAGATCAGTGACTGTCGAACTGTACCATGTCGTTTGGTGATGACTACAAGGTCACGGTCCTCGAGACAATCGCAATCGGTTGTTTGTGTCTTTTATGATTTGGATTTTTTACAATTGCATTCTTTTTGTCTTACCCCGAATTCTAATTTAAATTCTTCACGACCTTTTTCATTTAGAAAATTTTTTTCACTGGTTTGTAACTTTGCGATTCATATCTTTTATCCCATATTTTCTCCCATTACCACCACTTCTACTATTATGGCATTTAAACTGACCGTCTCATCTGTCCGTACTATCGTTTTTTGGCAAATGGAGATGATGTATTCACGTACGGTTTGCTACATGGTAACTGACTGACTGGTTATTCAGCTCAGGTAAACAACCTGACCCTCACTATTACTACTGATATAAATTTAGTTTAAACAGTTGTAGCGTCTTAAGTATGTTCTTTCTGAAAAGTTGGAAACGTCTATGACTGAATGTAGCCTTTTCTAGGCATCTAATCTTCAACTGTTTCAAGATCACACTTCTCTACACTAGCAGGTAGACAACGATAAATTGGCTTTTATTATATGGCTACACTTTTGATTACTGTTGTGTACTTCCACTCCGTTTTCATCATATTTATGTAATCATTGTTTTTTTATCATTTCTCAATCGATAAACATTAAAATCTTATTGGCCATAACTCACTGTTTTGATTGAAATGTTTATGTGATATCAAAGTTACTAACTATATCATTATACCACGTTCTGGCAATGCTTTGAATAGGGAACCGCATATCCACTACCGGTGTTAGAATGCCTTAAGATTAGAAAGAATACTGATACCTTTCAGGGTACAAAATATTTTTAATTGATCACTATAAGATTGCTGCTTATGTCAAATGCATATTTTTCGTTCTCATTTATTTTGAAGTAAAAATTAGATAATTTTTTTTTGATTCAGGCACTATTTCACCCAATTCATTAGCGATGGTTTCCTCATGATTTACGTGTATTGAAAACAAGTAAGTTATTTAAAAAATAGTTTGCTAGCTATTTCTTTTGTATGTATTCACAACCTAAATATGTGAACGTATTCCTGACTGTTGATCTACAGTACATTTTTTTGTCGAATACAAACGGGACATAGATTTTTACATCATAATATGTTATTTCTATTTAACAGACCTCTCAACAATGCTAGATAGTAAAAACGTTATTTGAGGAGAGAACCTTTGAAAGGGATTAGCATAATACCTTAAACAAAGTTACCATTGAGTCACTGTTATACAGAACTCAATGCTTTTTAAAATATCTCAGAAATCAAGCGCAGGTCCATGCACTTGGCCTCCAGCCACACTTTTTTTATGAGATTTTGTAATTATATCAAGTTACTGTTAATTACAGTAGATAGTGTAAAGTTTGAACTTGTGAACTTGTAGTTTGGGAGTTGAATATTTAAATATTTGAACCTCTAAATATATAATTCAACTTTCTGTTCTTTTAAGCGTTCTTCCATTTTGCCAACAGTCACTACATTACATTCTTTGTGCTTGTCGTAAACTATAGGTAAGGGAGTGGTTAATGGTATTTTCATTCAGATTTTTATCTGAATACTTTGCTTGCTTCTTTAAATACGCCTGGTCATGTATTAGTGTAAACACTTGGTTTTTGACTGTCCTGGATTTATTCACTTAAGCCTGCTACCACTTTCGGGTTGTTAGCTGCTGATCAGAGATATTTCCTGCGCTCACATTTTCATTTTTAATTATATGGTATTCGGTATCTGAATGTTGGCCTTCGGTTTCTGCCGCTACACGCTCTTTGGTCTTTTGCTTCCTGGTGTCTTCTCTGTACATCTTAAGCAAGGAATAAAATCGATCACATTTGAGCGTGACTGTAGCTGCTACCTTGACGTTGTGGTCGGGCTTGCCTATAGAACTATATTGGCTGGAACATATGTTCCTGAAGGTTCTACCATGCCAGGCAGGTCGATTGGAGAACGATGAGACTAAAAGCAGCTACTCAAAGTCTGAGGGCGAAGTCGTACTGCTGACTGTAGAGGGGTATGACAGCAGTAAGATGTTTCCCTTACACAAACAGTCAGTCAGTTGCAACGTAGAACTTTGTACGTATGTACATAAGTTCATGTTGCCATACCACATCAGTACAGAGACGCGAATGACAAATCAAATCCCATAGTGATAGATAGAGGTATTAATGGTAATGCAGAAGACTAGGGTTCGAAGATATTATTCAAGAAATATAATTCAGTGAGATAAATTTAGAAGGAGAAAGGTAGGAGAGCTGACGATTCCAGAAGATTAGGATTTGAGAGAGCATAACGAATGGATGCACTTGCGCCATTGCAAACGATTTTGAGCCATGTCGTTCAAGGTCTCTAACCGCCTGTGACTATGGTCTCGCGAACCACAATCAGGTAGCCTACATCTATCAACATGACTCAGTTCACTTGTCAGTGACTTCATGGATTTCTCCCATGTTTTGGTCTGGCCGCCCCTAGCCTTATTCCAACCTACTTCTACACCACAAAACATAGCTCGTCGAGTGAGTCGGTGGTTAGGCATTCGTAACACATGTCCCAACCACCTCAACTGATGAAGTTCCATTACTTCATCTATTGACCTGCCATCCTTAACTAGCACCCGTTTCCTAACGACAGCATTGCCCATACGGTTGTCCCACGACATACGAGCAATGCTTCGGAGAAATTGATGATCGAAGACTAGTAACCTACGAACATCTACTCTTAACGGCCATGTTTCGCATCCATATAGGAGAACGGAGCGAATTGCTGCGCACTACACCCGTCCTTTGGACAGCGAACGGATATCACGCCTCTACTATAAACGGCCAAGTCTCGCATCCGTACAGTAGGACGTAGCGAACTGCTGCACAGTACACTCGTCCTTTAGTCAGCAAACGGATATCTCGTCCGCGCCATAGGTGATGCAGGTTGGAAAAAGCCAATCGAGCCTTCTGTATCCGAGCTGCGATTTCGTCAGTCACCAGGCTATCAGCGCTGATGAGACTCCCGAGATAAGTGAAGCGGTCAACACGCTCGACTACTTCACTCTCTATCACTAGTTCAGGTGCCGATGCAACCCAATCTTGAAGCAACATTTTACATTTCAAGGGTGAGAACCGCATCCCGAACATGCTTGCATTGTTGCTTAGGGTGGTCAGAAGACTGCATTTTGTCAGCGTCCTCGCCAATTAGGACAATGTCATCGGCATATTCTAAGTCGATAAGCGAGCCTCCTGGTAGTAGGTCTACTCCTGAAAATTCAGACGAGGATAAGGTTATTTCTAAGAGCATGTCTATGATAAAATTAAACAAAAATGGAGAAAGTGGACAGCCCTGACGGACGCCACTTGAAGTGAACAATTCCCGTGACAGTTCGCCATAAGCTCTCACTCGACCAGTAGTTTTAGAGTAGAGAGCTTGTATGATCTTAATATACTTCTTTGGTACACCTTTCAATGACAGGCACTGTCACAGAACCTCACGATCCACAGAATCGAATGCCGATTTTAGGTCCAGGAAAACAACTATTGTAGGACGCCTACATGTGTGTCTGTGTTCCAGGACCTGTCTGAGTGTGAAGACGTGGTCTATACAACCACGTCCAGGTCGAAAACCAGACTGGTTTTCTCTAGTCCACTCTTCACGAGCTGTAGTTAGACATCTAAGTATAATCGAGGCTATTAATTTAGAAACTATATTAGTTAGACTGATTACTCTGTGATTGTCACAAGAAGACTTTTGTCCTTTCTTTTAAATTGGGACAGTCAAGGATTGGGACCAATCAGACGGGATTACATCCAGTTCCCAGATTTTACCTAAGATCTCAGTCGATCTAGCTGTTAGAACCAGACCGAGACATTAGTGGGAGTGGGCATCAGTTTAATAGCTCGGATGTTCTCAGGATCCGGTCTTCGACCGTCGGCATCAAAGATGAATCCCAAATACTTTACCGACTGCAATAAAAACTGGCATTTCTGTGGGCGTAACCGGAAACCTTTGTCACTGATGCGTTGTAGTACCAATGTCGTGCGTTCCCGTAGCTGTTCTTACGTCTTCGCAACAATTAAGATATCATCGAGATTATCTGCAAGCCCTAAGATATCTGATAGGATAGTATCCATTAGTTGCTGGAAGATAGATGGGGCAGTCTTAACTCCAAAAGGCAGACGGTTGTACTGGAACAATCCACGATGGATATTGATAGTAAGCAGCTCTTTTGATGCTTCATCTACATCCACTTGCAAATAAGCATCAGCTAGATCGAGCTTTGCGAAAAAATTTCCCATATTCAGCATAGTAAACAGATCTGCGGGGACTGGCAGAGGATAATGATGCTGTTCCAGAGCTCCATTGAGACCTGTAGAGAAGTCAGCTCATATAAGTATCGTGCCGTTGGCCTAAATGTTGGCTTAAATGTTCATAACTTAAGAAATTACCTCTTGATAGGAAGTAACGGTGAATATATGTGACGCTCAATTCTCAAGTTAGTAATAACAACTAATATTCTTCTGGTCTGTTATCTAAGTCTCGAAACACATTCTTACTGAGCTACAATTTGGTCGGTTTATCAGTGTTCAAGTAAATGTCAGTGTTCATTTCAGGACGTACTCCTATGTGCTACGGTAGCAAAATTAGATACGGAACCATGGAATTTACGAAGGGTATTCGTGTCACCAAAATCCTAGTACACGGGGTATGGGGAATCACAGTTAGTTAAATACCTCATTCACCTAAGAAAATCCCCTTTCTTATCTATAAATTACTTATGCTCATCAAGAGCACTTAGTACCCAGTTACATCAAACATTTTGTGTTGTAATTGAACATGAAGTATCGACTCTATAGTTGGGGAACTAATGATTGTGGAATTTAAGTACGTGATTACTTTTATAATCTTGATGATACTTCGATTTCAATAAATCATTCAGTATATGTCTTGATTCAGTCACCAACCAAAACATGACAGAAATGCATGAAGTCACTGACAAGTGGACTGAGTCATGTTGGTAGATGTAGACTACCTGGTTGTGGTCCGCGAGATGAAAGTCAACGATGGTTGGCGACCTTAAACGACACTGCTCGAAATCGTTTGCAATGGTGCAGGTTCATCCACCCGTTGTGTTCTTTCAAATTCTAACCTTCTGAATCCTCATCATCTCTACGTTTCTCTTTCTAACTTTATCTCACTGAATGATACTTCTCGAATCATATCTTCGAACCCTAATCTTCTCCATTACTGCTGATATTTCTACTATTGCTACCGTTATGGGATTTGAATTAACAGTTATGTGCGTTTTGAAATACCTATCTGAACTTTGATCATGTTTTTTTAGCGCTAGCCTTACCTTACATTCCAGACTCTAACATACTCATCTTAAAATGATCGATGTTAGAAAACCTTTCGTGGCTTCTGTTACAACTAAATATGAAATCGGATGGCGTCGGTCTTCTCCGGGTGCTCGTGAGTTTGTTACATAATGAAACAGTACAAAGTTTCCGTAAGGTACGCATAACCATTAGGTCGGATCAGGATAACGAGTTGCAAGCAGCAGCTGCATCTGAAAACTGCCGGAAGCTCCTTCAAACGTCCGAGCCTCTGGCAGCAAAAGGTTTGGTGTGAGCCACACAAACGGTCTTTCGACGACCGTCTCACCCTACGCTACAGGTCGCGTAAGTTGGCAGAAGCTAATCAAAAGGTGTACGGGACTAGCATGCGTTGGACCTTCACGACTGCCTAGTTGGAGTCCTAGAAACGGTTCAGCTTAGTTGCTTTAGAAGCTTTCAGAAACTAGTTGGTGTAATTTTCCGTCACTTCCTTCACGTAATTGTGGTGAACTTCTGTAACTGAAGAAGTCCTTTCCGGTTGTATTTTTTTTAACTGAACTGTTTCTCCTACTATCATTATCTCTACTTCACTCACACTTATTTCTATTCATATTATTTTGTGATACTCACTGTTCTTTCTCTATCTCTTTACAACCTCATTTTTATTGTGTGGTGCATAAATATTTTGGTGCCAAATTGTACCAATATTTGTGTTTTTAGTAAAAATAAAATCAATGAAATAAAATACTGTAAAAGTGATAGCTGAGATTTATATTTATAAATCATTATTTAAAATGCTAGGCTAGAACGTATTTTCAAAGAAAACCTTTTCAATTAAAGGAAACCCATCAGTATTTTGTCACGACCAAAAAAAATCTGAATGAATATTTTCTATGCATTTTTGTGTTGTCAGACGGCTTTTGGAAACAACCGGTCGACTCAATCTTAAGACACCTTTTGATATAAATTGGCGTCACTTTTCGTAACTCTTAGTTCCAGTGATACATCGAAAATCAAAATGAATTAATTCATTCCTGACATTATCTGTTCGTTACTGTCAACTTAATTTTGTCCCGTTCTTTTAGTGGATGCTGTTAAAATAATTTATATCACAGTTTTTCATTATAAATGCAAAGTAATCCAACTGCAATAAAGTTACGCGCATTAATAGTCAATTTTAAGTAGACTAAGTTCCGGATTAATATTTTCCCCACTAGAAATGATTGTCAATATTTTTCTAACTTGGAAAGTTCACTCGATCTGTTTGTGTAATATGCACTTTTCTTTTCCATTCCTCAGGGTTGAGGTGCTCAGACTGTTCGACTATGTTGGTTCGTTTTGAACTAACTTAACCCTAACGTTGAAAAATAAATGAACAATAATTTTGCATATAGTTACTCAGCTTTCTATATTCTATCCTTAATTTTTTGTATGAACAAATGTTGTTTAAAAGTTATATAACAGTTTGAATTATCTTGTTTTTTCTGGTTTTAAAAGCAACTAGTAAAGTAATATAAAGTAAACAAGAGGCTTACTGCAGAATTTTCGATTTTTCGTTGTGACCTATATTCGGATGACTAAGTTCTGTCAAGCTGCGCTGAATAAAAATTCAGAAGCAACGTATCCAAGAAGTTCTATTTAATGGTAATGTCATGGTCGTGTATCACCAAATAAATAATAAATTATTTATTATCCTTTTGAAATGAATGTAAATTCATTGTATCATTTCAATATCATATCATTACCGTTAAGTTTTTCTTTCAAATTTCGTCCCGAAGCACACAAAGCAGCAAAGAAACCAGCCCTCAACTGGACTGATACGTATCTGATCTCGGCCTGTTTGACTCGGCTCGCAGAGCCGATCCTTCTTCCGAAGTTACGGACCAAATTTACTGACTTCCCTTACCAACATTGTTCACTAGCCATAGGCACTTCGGAGACGTGCTGCGGATATGGCTGACTGCCACAAAAATTATACTGCCTCGCTCGGATTTTAAAAAGCCGATAATAGCGTTCTGGACTCCGTAAGAAGAGTGATGCTTTACAGAAGCTGGCCCCCTATTTCCAGATAAGCTGATTCCAGGGGATGGATGTACTTTTAACAAAGAAAAGAGGACTCTTCCCAGAACTCGCGGACGTCCTCAAGTTCGGTTGCGTTAACACACTTGGCTCACACCGACATCGTTGAACAGGGTCAAGAATACTAACCGGATTCCCTTTCGCTACAGGGGGGCTGCAATTTAGATCACTGAATAAAGCTGGCGGACGAACAATGTCAGGCACCCCGTTTCCTCTGATTTACCAGATCACTTTTGACCGCCTGACCCATGGTCAACTGCTGTTCCCATAGGACCCTTCTCCGCCCTTCTAGTTTCTCACTCCGTCAACCGCAGCTACCCTACCACTCGCTGTAACTTCATGTCTGGACCAAGTGCAGCTTTTCCTTGGACAGTATAGGCCCAGCTTACAGTGACGGTCGTCTACCGCTACACCACAGACCATTGGCCCAATGCAATTCACACATGCAACCGCCAACGTAACCATCAGCAGACCAGACTCAACAATACCCGAAGGTCTAGGCACGCACGCGAGGTCGCCATCCCAGACACACCGCATAGCTCCACTACAGCCGTATAGTTAACGCCCATAGCCTCTGAACGAGCCTAAGAGTCATCTGCCGACCCGACAAAATCAGTTTGGTCATAGCAGACAGGCAGCAGTGCCGATCTTGATGAACGCTCTGAAAAAGTACGCTGATAAGTAGAACCTCATACTCACGGTGCGTGCGTCTCATGCAAAACATAAGTGCGTAACTTTTATTCCAAATATCCGTTTTCCATACACAGTTAGAACGTATAATCATTTTCATTTTTCAATCCCAGTAATTCACTATCAGTCCTCGTCAGTGTATGACAAAATAAATGAATCGAAGTATGAACTGTGTACTAAAATGCGGGAGAAGCCAAACGGCAATGAATCTACTATTTTCTGTATAAAAATTCCTGTAACACTTCAAGTTAACATGTGTTCATACGTTCAATATATCGGTTCTAAGAGTATGTATAATCAAATGTTTAGGGAAGACAATTGCTTTTCGAACGTGGTTGTGTATCTATGGTGAAATTTAAAGAAATCGCTTCTCTAGTCCGCTTTCAGAATACTTTCATAAGTTGGTTTTCGTTAGCCAGCAGCAGATTGGATTGCATCGAGTTTATTTTATTGCTTGATTCTATCTCTCCGCAATCGCCATTAATTCACGGATCAAGTTATGCAAAACATACATTCAAGTATCGGCAATCAATCCAAGCAGTAATTATGGTATGTTTAATAGGTATTATGATAAAGCTACCTGCAAAGTCAGCATAGTTTACCTTTCATGCTTAGAAGTCAAGAACAACAAAATCGACGCATTACTTTACTTTTGCATTCCAAATATGTGGAGAAAAACTGCGTCGCTGCAGTTTGCCCGAGGGAAACACCTTACTCCCGAATTCCACGTTCGGGGAGGCCCAGGACATAGTAAGTAGGAGAATGCTGGTCGGTGGCCTGTGCTCCATTCGAGGTGACAGGCGTAAGTAACACAGACCGGCTGACTAATAGATTATATATGGCCACTTTCATTCAATCATTGGATACATGTTAAAAATAGTATCACCTGTATTTAATTGAGCACATAATTATCAGTTGAACCTCATTTTGAAATGCGCATTTCTTTTATTGCACACTAAATGAGACGACAATGTTGGTAAAAAAATACCTTATCGGTTTCAGAAGGATGATGCTCAATGACCAATTTATTAAATCAGTTTATTTATCAAAGTGATATATTTTCGGTGTATAGCTTAATAATTTGTTCAGATTAGTGTAATATTGGTCTGATGTACAGCACATATTTCAACCACTGTCACTACTACACATAACTGTGTAATCAAATCGGCCTGTATTAATTCATTAGAGGCTTCAGTAACTTTACAAACAAAAGTGTTTCGTAGCGGGAAAATACAAGGGAATCGGATGTAGTACAGCTGGATGACTATCTTTAACTGTAGATGACATAAATCATGAAACAAGAGGATTACCCGCATTATTCTTAGTATTCCTTTAGTTAGTGTGCCAAGCAATATTCCCGTCTTCCATATCCCAACTATGAAGCTTACAGTTTTTAATGAAAATCGGAAATCCTGTCGATAAATTACATGCCAACGAATGACGATTTTGAGAACCATCCACCCTGTTACACATAGTCTTTTAAGATGGCCACTGTTTATTTAAATATAACCGATGTCTCAATCAATGTAGGTTCACAATTTCAAACGATTTCTGATATAGTGAGCCAATTGAAAGAAGCCACTTAAGAACGGTGGTTAATGATCAGCAGAAAATGTCACACAGCATTGGTCAATAAATGGCTTCATGTTCCAAGGGGATGGAATATATGTAGACATACACGAGTATTTGTACATATTGTTCGCTTGCTGTTAGGATATTCATCAAATATCCTAAGAGAATTATTTTTGTAAATCTAATTCTATTGGTCAATTTCTACTGTTCAATATTATGGTCGTACTAGCTATCAATGTCACGTACTTCAATGTTGTTTCCCATTGGTCGTCCTGACTATTAATGTCACTTCAAATGCTGTTTCCTGTTCGACCTAACTGTATAAATACGCGTTATCTTAAACGTTTTATGACCCGGATCCCTAATCCGGGATCCTGATTCTCTTCTGGATTGCTTGTAGAGTAGCGTTTCTTGTCGCCGGATTCTCGCCCTCGTTTTCTGACTAAGGTGTACTCGAAATTGTTCAAGCATATCAAATGACGTGTTTATGTGCATGCGTAACAGTAGCCAAATAGACTCTACCTTCTGCTCTTGCCTTTTCATTGTAGTACATATCATAACATTGTCCATCACTATATTTAAACCAAACTAATAATCTCTGATGAGACTTACTACAAACAACTTGGGTCAGTATTGTTAATCGTCGCATATATTTTTTATATTCTAAAGAATTTATTTGAAAAATAATAAGGAACAAAATTTTCAGTTAATCAACATGATTGTTTTAAATTTTTAATAAGTAGTACAATTTTATTATGATAAAAAGTATAACCTATAAAAAATAAATGGATGATTGTCTAAAGACAGATATGTGTGTTACGAAAGCAAACAACAGGTAGCTATTCATAAGTGATAGGAAAGCAAAGTGAAATAATATTCAAAAACATTGAAACGATAGTGGTTGTGATAAACTATGTGGATACGGCGATTAAAAAATGAAATCGTTAAAAAAAATGCGAAAATACATATAAAAGCACTTTGCACAGCCAATTGTTTCCTTATGTAATCGTAGCTAATTACTGATCTCAAATAAAAAGCAATATTGTCCAACTGTACTCGTAAAAAAATTTAAAAACCCATATACGGTTTACGTGAACAAAGTTTTAGTTGTTAAATATGATGGCGATTGAGCTTTTCAGAGACGATCACAACACTGTGCGAATAAAAGAACAGCTAAGTCATCAATTTGTACCAGTACTGTTCTTGTGGAACACTGTTGTAACCTGGGTGGGACTGGAGTGTGATGGCAAAGAATAAGTTGGGTGTTGTACAACAACAGAACCAGTACGAAAAGATGAAATGCTGCACTGGTCTGCTTTTAGATCACTTGACTTGAAATTAGTTGTTATTACGGGTCTAGTGTTCATAAGCCGTAAGAAGGAAGAGGAAGCTTAAATAGAAGAAAAAATATAAACTCGTAAAACGATGTAGTACATGCCTGATATTCAGTAGGAAATAATACGAATAAGCAATTTTATGTAGTCTTAATCAGGACATGAATGCTGTGTGAGGAATGTTACTTTTCAAAAGAAAAATACAAGTTTCTTCGAGACTTTCAGTCAGTCTACAACAACCAGAATCATTGATAATAACCAACAACTATATTTAGGCGCAGATGACATGGAATGAACGGAGATCACAAAAATGTACATTTTGACTATACAGTCAGTTTGAGCGGCCGCTAGTTACTGATGACAAGTAGATAAAAAGATGATTACGTAATTTTAAGAAGCGTAAGCAATAAAATTAGTTTGTGATAAATTTGAATAATCTAATGAGAAGGAGATTAACAGATAGTTCTGATAATCTTTTTAAAATTAGTATGCGTAAGTAATTATTTCACGGTGTGGGCAGCCGGGAAGTGACAACCGCCCTCATACCCGTTACAGCACGAGGGAACGAATGGGTCGAAATCAAATCCATCTTATACACCTAATATCTCTCTTATCTCCACGACGACGCAAATGCAAACGACGCGAGTTCACGAAACGTTATTCCTGGTCTCTTGAAACCTCGTTGGAGCATTAAATGTTCGAATATTGTGTCAAATAGGGACACCGGCTTGCTTAGCTAAGGCTTCTGCCTCTGATCATGATGAAATCAGCTTAAGCGCAGGCTGATAAAAAGCCTACGCCATGATCGCGAGCAGTGGTGGGTAGCGAAAGCAAGAGCGATGCAAAAGGCAGCGGCGATATCAAACAGTATATAACTGTTCGCCTGACTTTTCAGTAGTGGACCTCCTACCAGGAGACACGCTTGCTGACTTAGAGTACGCCGATGATGTAGTTCTATTTAGTGAGGACAATGACAAAATGCAGAGTTTTCTGACCACCGTAAGCGACAAAGCAAGCATGTTCGGCATGCGATTCTCCCCCTCAAAACGCAGAATGTTGCTTCAAGATTGGTCCCCAACGCCACCTGAACTAGTGATAGACAGGGAAGCAGATGAGCATGTTGACCTCTTCACTTATCTGGGGAGTTTCATCAGTGCTGATGGCTTAGTGACTGACGAAATCTCAGCACGAATACAGAAAGCTCGATTGGCTTTTGCCAACTTGCGTCACTTATGAACTAGGCGAGATATTTGTCTGCCATTCGAAGCACGAGTTTACTGCACAGCAGTTCGCTCTGTTCTATTTTATGGCTGTGAAACATGGCCAGTCAGAGTAGAGGATATTCATAGGTCATCAATACTCGATCATAGATGTCTTCGAAGCATTGTTCGTGTATCCTGGGACTATCGAGTAAGCAATACTATCGTCAGGAGACGATTACTAGGTAGGGATGGTAGATCAATAGATGAAGTATTGAAACTTCAGTAGCTGAGGTGGTTGGGACATGTGGTTCGTATGCCTAACCATCGACGAGCGATGTTTTGTGGTGTAGGAGTAGATTGGAAGAGAAGTAGGGAGGCCAGACCAAAACGTGGCAGAAATCCATGAAGTTTGGCATGAATGATTCGCATTTTATATTAAGCATTCAATTCTGATTTCAATTAGCTACACAGTGAGAACTCCAATGATACATCCGTATATAGGATTATGTGCTAGATTATAGAAATAATCCTATAATCTGATGAATAAATAAGACTCGCTATACGAAACGATGCTTGAATTCATAATTCATCAAGTCATACAACTTTATTGTCCCTCAATATCAAGATAGAGTATTAGCGCGGAACAACTGGATCAATAGCAGAACAGGAGTAAGAGAGCAATCGTGATAAATAACATAACTAACCTTGATTGACTGGAACTAAACTATGGACGACAGGTTGAAAAGTAATCACATTAAAATTATCCTCCTTGTTTTCAGATAATGGTGTATGTTGTACATTTACATTAAGTGATGACGACGATAATGCAAGTTTGTACGGAGTTTTTAGTTGATCAGGAGATTTATTTAATCGTTTACATGACTTTTGTAAATGGACACCACTTGTTGACATTATTATTGGATTATTGTGTGACTGATTTATTAATGATTTTGCAATAATATAGTTATAAAATTTCCCATTGGAAGGCAATGATGTTAATGGATATCTGTTGTTTGATAAAAATGAAGTTGTATCACAGGCTCTGACACGACGTTTGCGGAAAGCAATATTTAGTAATTTTGCTTCATGCTCTGGATCGATTCTCCAAAAACAACCCTTACCATGATCTTCTTGTGAACGAGGAATCTGAAAAAAAAAATATAAATTACAGCAGGAATTTTTAAAAGATTCAGCGATAATAAACTGTACATAAACATGTATGCTTGTTTGCTGTTTCAAAGGAGAAGGGGATTACAATAAATGTCACTCAGTGCTGTGTTCACGAATCTATGTGCCCTAAAAAATGGTTTAGGTGACATGCGTTTCACTGGATCACTACACAGAATCGAATCGATCACATCTAGATCAACAAAATGTTCAGAACGGCTACTGAGGATGTAAAACTAAAAGAGGAGCCGACATAGCTTCAGATCAACACACGGTAGTGGCCAAGATGAAACCGAAACCTTAATACGGCGTTTCTTCGATATACAAACAGAGAGAAAGATACAACGCAGAACATCGTACGTACGTGCATCAGTTCAGGTTGCCATGCCCCATCAGTCAGTCAGTCAGTCAGATGCAACGTAGAACTTTGTACATAAGTACATCAGTTCATGTTGCCATACCACATCAGCACAGAGATATAATTGTCAATTCAAATCCAATAGTAGAAGAGGTAGTAAGGGAATTAGAAATAATCGGAGAGGTTAGGATTAGAAGGCATTATTGAAGAAGTATGATTCAGTGAGATAAGTTTAGAGAGTCGAAACTAGAGGTGTTGAAGAATCCAAAAAGATTAGCATTTGAGAGAACACAGAGAATAAATGCACCGGCGCCATTGCGAACGATTTTGAGCCATGTCATTCAAGGTCTCTAACCATCGATTATTATCATCTCGCGGACCCCAACCAGGTAGTCGACAATTACCAACATGGCTCAGTCCACTAGTCAATGACTTCATGGATTTCTGCCATGTTTTGGTTTGGCCGCCTCTAACTTTCTTCCAACCTATTCCTACACTACAAAACAAGGCTCGACGAGGCAGCCGGTGGTTCGGCATACGCAACACATGTCCCAACCACCTCAACTGGTGAAGTTTCAATACTTCGTCGATTGATCTGCCATTCTTACCTAGCACCCGATTCCTAATAACAGCGTTGCTCACTCGGGTGTCCCACGATATACGAGCAATGCTTCGAAGACACCTATGATCGAAAACCATTAACCTACGAATATCTTCTACTCTCACTGGCCATGTTTCACAGCCATAAAGTAAGACGGAGCGAACCACTGCGCAGTACACTCGTCCTTTAGTCAGCAAACGGATATCTCGCCTACGCCATAAGTGACGCAGGTTGGCAAAAGCCAATCGAGCCTTCTGTATCCGTGCTGAGATTTCGTCAGTCACCAGGCCATCGGCACTGATGAGACTCCCAAGATAAGTGAAGCGGTCTACACGTTCGACTACTTCACTCCCTATCACTAGTTCAGGTGCCGATGAAACCCAGTCTTGAAGCAACATTTTGCATTTCGAGGGGGAAAATCGCAACCCGAACATGCTTGCATTGTTGCTTAGGGTAGTCAGAAGACTCTGCATTTTGTCAGCGTCTTCACCAAGTAGGACTATGTCATCGGCATATTCTAAGTCAATCAGCGAGCCACCTGGTAGAAGTTCTACTCCTGAAAATTCAGACGAGGATAATGTTATGTCTAGGAGCATGTCTATGATAAAATTAAACAAGAATGGAGAAAGTGGACATCCCTGACGGACACCACTTGATGTAGAGAATTCCGATGACAGTTCGCCATAAGCCCTCACCCGACCAGTGGTGTTCGAGTAAAGAGCTTGTATAAGGTTAATGTACTTCTGTGGTACACCTTTTGATGACAGACACTGCCACAGAACCTTACGATCCACAGAGTCAAATGCCGCCTTAAGGTCTAGGAAAACAACTATTGTAGGACGCCTAAATGTGTGTCTATGTTCCAGGACCTGTCTGAGTGTGAAGACGTGGTCTATACAACCACGTCCAAGTCGAAAACCAGACTGGTTTTCTCGAGTCTGCTCTTCACGAGCTTTCGTTAAGCGTCGAAGTATTATCGAGGCCAGTATTTTAGATACTATATTAGTTAGACTTATTCCCCTGTGATTGTCACAGGAAGACTTTTGTCCTTTCTTATATATTGGGACAATCAAGGATTGAGACCAGTCGGATGGGATTACGTCCAGTTCCCAGATTCTACCTAAGATCTCAGTCAACCTAGCTGCTAAAACTGGACCACCATCCTTAAATATCTCAGGGGTCAGTCTATCAGGACCTGCAGCTCGTCCTCGTTTCAGATTTCCTAACGCTTTCTCAACGTCATCAAGACTAGGGGGACTTAGGTCGATTTGCCATTCAGGATGACTGGAGATCGTGGGTAACCGAAGAGTGGCTCGAGGCCAGTTCAACTGATCCTTAAAGTGTTCTGCCCATCGATCCAGTCTCCTGGATTGAGAATGGATAATAAGACCATCCTTTTCCGAGATAGTCTCACTCACATTCGGGTTCTTAATACCAGTTTCTTTAATAAGGCGGAAAAGTTGTCTACTGTTGCCGATCGCCGCTGCCTTTTCCATCGCTTTTGCTTTCGCCACCCACCACTGTTCGCGGTCGTTACGCAGACTTTTTATAAGTCTACGCCTAAGCTGACTACGCTCTTCATCATGCTCAGAGTCAGGTGGGATGCGTTTTCGAGCATCCATCAGTTCGGTGGATGCGGCTGAAATCCACGGCTTCATCCTAGCCTTATGGTTTACCTTACTAGCAGATATCACTGCTGTTTCCACAGCCTTTTTGATATCATACCAACCTGCTTCTGGATGGGAATCACTTACATCGTTGCATAACTCTCTTTCTAGTTCCTCCTGAAATATTTTCTTGGTTTGATTATCATTAAGTAAAACCCTGAGAGGCTTTCTTACGGTGTCTTTCCTACGCCCAGTAAGCCTTAAACAGATACGAGCTCGCACTAGAGCATGATCTGAATCCAAACATGTGCCCCAGAACGAGCGACAGTCTTCTATCGAACCCCTCCATCGGTGACTGATGGCGATGTGATCTAGTTGAGTCCAACGTTGAGACGACTTTGGAGGTCGCCAGGTCAGCAGATGCTTTTCATTATGCCTAAAGTTGGTGTTCGCTAAGAATAGGCGGTTATCTGAGCATAGTTGCAACAGACGGTCTCCATTGTCTGTTCTCTGAACCGCGACACCATAACATCCACCAAGATGTCTTTCCTTTTCACCTAGTCTACCTACTCGAGCATTAAAGTCACCAGCCATTATTACTATATCAGAGCGCCTAGCTTTTTGAAGGAGGTCCGAAAGCTTTCTGTAAAACTCATCTTTAACCTCGTCTGAACTGCAGTCAGTGGGGGCATAGGCAGATATGACGAAGAGGCAACGGCGAGTGTCCCTATCCTTACGAGTCCTTACTGTCCCGTTTAGTCGGACAGCGCACAAACGACTATCTACTGGGATCCAGTCTAGGAGAGATAATTCTGCCCTAGGACTCAACGCTATGCCTACCCCAGCAAGACCCCTGGAAGCAGCATCAGGGCTACCGGATACACGAAGAGTAAATGGAGCTGTTTCTACGTTTTGACAAGGTGGAATCAGGTTAATGACTTTACTAGGATCCTGTATGCGCGTTTCCGAGACGCAGCATACATCGATGGCACGAGTTTCTAAAGTCCTAGCTAATGATGCCTGTTGCCCTATTTGACACAATGTCCGTACATTAAAAGCTCCAATATGTAGTCTAGAACGGGGTTTCAAGAGACCAGGAACGACGTTTCGTGATCTCACTTCGTCTGCATTAGCGGTGCAGTGAGAAAAGGGAGTGTGAGTAGAGTTAGTCGTAGAGATAAGAGAGACATTAGGGGGTGTAGGAAGGATTTGATTGTGACAGATTTGGTCTCACGTGCTGGTACGGGTATGAGGGCGGTTGTCACTTCCCGGCTGCCCATACCGTGGAAGGTTGTTTCTTGAGGGACCTGAAAAGGAAGATGGATTAGTGTTGGTGCGTGACCGCAGAGTCCAAGGGACAACTGCTTGAGGCCGGTCACGCACGGCCTTTTTATCAAAGGTATTTTGAGGATTAGCTCCGTTCTTAAAGGCCCTTAGTGGGCACCCTTACCCAGGGAGACGGAAATCCGTGAGTTAGGGGGAGTGTGACATTTTTAGGGCCGACCTTTTCTAACGATTCGTTCCTTGTGAGAAGGCAGCATCGCTGCAGATGCTGGTTGTCCGAGGGAAACACCTTACTGCTGTCACACCCCTCTGCAGTCAGCAGTACGACTTCGCCCTCAGACCTTGGGTAGCTGCTTTTAGTCTCATCGTTCTCCAATCGACCAGCCTGGCATGGTAGGACCTGCAGGAACATATGTTCCAGCCAGTATAGCTCGGTTGGGTCATCACGATAGGCAAGCCCGACCACCACGTCAAGGTAGCAGCTTCGGTCGGGCATGCCCCATCAGCACAGAGACGCAACTGTCAATTCATATCCAAGAGTGATAGCAATAACAGAAGTATTAGCAGTAATAAAGAAGATAAGGGAGCGAAGATATGATTCGAAAAGTATAATTCAGTGAGATAAATTTAGAAGGAGAAAGGTAGAGATTATGAGGAATGCAGAAGCTTAGAATTTCATAGAAAACAAAGAGTGGAAGCGCCTGCGCCATTGCGAACGATTTTTAGCCATGTCGTTCAAGGTCTCTAACCGCCTGTGACTATGGTCTCGCGAACCACAATCAGGTAGCCTACATCTATCAACATGACTCAGTTCACTTGTCAGTGACTTCATGGATTTCTCCCATGTTTTGGTCTAGCCGCCCCTAGCCTTATTCCAACCTACTCCTACACCACAAAACATAGCTTCGTTTTCATCATGTTCAGAGCCAGGAGGGATGAGTTTTCGGGCACCCATTAGTTCGGTGGATGCTACAGAGATCAATGGCTTCATCCTAGCCTTAGGGTTAACCTTACGAAATCACTGCTGTTTACAAAGCCTCTTGGATTGCATTCCAAGCTGCTTAAATGTTCGCCTAACTGTCTTTCTAGTTGTTCTTGAAATATATTCTTCGCCTTATTATCATCAAGTAAAACCCTAAGAGGCTTCCTTACAGTGTCTTTCCTACGTCCAGTAAGCTTCAAACAAATACGAACTCGCACTAGGGCATGATCTGAATCTAAACATGTGCCCCAGAACGACTGACAGTCTTCTATCGAACCCCTCCGTCGGTGGCTGATGGCAATATGATCTAGTTGGGTCAAGCGTTAAGACGACTTCGGGGGTCGCCTGGTCAAAAGATGCTTTTCCTTACGCCTAAAGTTAGTGTTTGCTAAGAATAGGCGGTTGTCTGAGCATACTTGCAACAGACGGTCACCATTGTCTGTTCTCTGAACCGCGACACCATAACATCCACCTAGGTGTCTTTCATTTTCACTTAGTCTACCTACTTCAGCATTAAAGTCACCAGCCATTATTACGATATCAGAGTGCCTAACTTTTTGGAAGAGGTCCGAAAGCTTTCTGTAAAACTTATCTTTCACTCGTCTGAACTGCAGTCTGTGGGGGCATATTCAGATACGATGAACAGGCAACGGCGATTGTCCCTATCTTTCCGAGTCCGTACTGTCCCGTTTAGTCGGACAGCGCACAATCGACTATCTACTGGGATCCAGTCAAGGAGAGGTTGTTCAGCTCTATGACTCAATGCTATACCTAAGCCAGCAAGACCCCTGGAAGCAGCGCATAGGCTGAATACATAGGACCAAACAATCAAGTCAAGAGGAACATTAGAAAAGCTTAAAGTAAGTAACTGGAATTAGCTGAAAAAGAAGGAAACTTGAAGCAACAAAGAAGCTCGCTAGTAAGCCAGAACGGCCAATCAAGAACGAGGAATGAACATTTATCACTGCCATTCACGGACAGAACTTTAATCTTGAATGGAACAGCCACACTGAAACGACCCAATATCGAAGTCCCACCTGCAGATCTCCCAATTCATGTCAACCAACGAACAATTGAAGCAACCAGCATGGTCATCAGGCAAAACTAGGGTGGTATAAATTTAAATAGAAAAAAACGGTCACGAGGAGTAAATACGATGAGAATTCGAGAGAAGACAAAGAATGGATACACCTGCGCCACTGCAAACGATTTTGAGCCATTTCATTGAACTTCCCTGACCACTGGTTATTATCGTCTCGCAGACCCCAACCAGGCATTCGCGATGTCAATGACTTCATGGATTTATGTCACGTTTTGGTTTGGCCATCCCTAACTTTCCTCAAACCTACCCCTACATCCCAAAGCATAGCTTATCAAGGGAGTCGGTTGTGATGCATACGTACCACATGTCCCAACCACTCCAAATGGAGACCTACCATTTCATCTACTGATCTGCAATCCTTACGCCATAAGTGATGCAAGTTGACAAAAGCCAGTCGACCTTCTGTATTCATACTGAGATTTCGTCTGACACCAGGCCATCAGCACTGATGAGACTCCCACGATAAGTGAAGCGGTCATTACGCTCAACGGCTTCACTAGTCCAGGTGCTGATGCGGGTCAATCCTGAAGCAACACTGCATTTCGACGGGGAGCATTGCATCCCGAATATACTTAGATTGTTGAAGTTAGTGGCCTAAATAATGCATTTTGTCAGTCTTTAGCAAATAGAACTATTTTATCTCTACAGAAGCGAATCTCCTGGTAGAAGGTCAACCTCATAGGTTAGACGACGAAAATCCTATCCCTAAAAGCACGTCTATGACTGCTAAATAAGGATGTCGAAAGTGGAAAACCTTGACGAACACCATTTGAAATAATCGATTCCGATGACAGTTCACCATACGCTCTCACTCGACCAATAGTGTTCGAGTAAAGGTTAATGTGCTTCTTTGATACTCCTTTCAGTGACAGACACTGCCAGAGAATCTCACGATCTACAGAGTTCAAATCCACCTCAACGTTGAGAAATACAACTATTGTTGGACGCCTAAACGTGTGTCTGTGTAAAGGACCTGACGAAGTGCAAATATATGGTCTATACATCCACGTTCAAGTCCGAAACTATCCTGACTTTCTCGAGTTTGATCTTCACGAGCTCTAGTTAGGCGTCGAAGTATTACTGAAGCTAGATTTCAAATTATTAATAAATTCTAAGTGGGAAAACGAAATTTATGGGTAGGATCGATTGAATTATTTTTGGCAACCGGACGTCAGTTTCTGATGTAGTTCTTTTTTTTGAAACAGTCAAGTGTAATCTCCAACAGCTTATACAGAATGATTGATTCTAGTCCTAAAAGATACTTTTTATGAATGGTTTACCAAGTGGCGATTTGGAGTGCACTGGTGCGGTTAGTACGTAGCTACTCGGTTACTTAACACGAAAAACCATACACAACTGGACCAAACTTTAATGAAGTTTGTTACTTTTCTAATTAAATTTTTAATATATATGGTGTTCAGAGATATTCAGTTTTATGAGTTCACTTTTAGTTTTTTGATGACCACACTGTCGAATATCAATTAGCATCCAAAACGATAAATTACTGGGGTCATTTATCCACAACGCATCAAAATTATTGGAAAAGTTCAGAATCAAAAAAGCTTCTTCAACGATATGATAGTAGGAACACGAACCATGTCGTGTCGCGACTACTGACTGAATTCATCAACTCACTTTTTCAGACAAATTTTTTCCAAGTGAATTACAATAACAGCTGTTAATTTGATACCCTCTGATAAGAAACAGGAAATTAAGATAAAAAATCTGTCATACTACTGTTTACTTGATGATAAATGAAAGAATTAGCACAAAACCATAAATGCAGTAACTGGAACTAAATCGGTAGAAAATTAAATGAATTAAAATTTCAAATAGAAATGAAAGGCGCATTTTGCTACAAATGTGCCGAAACAATAAAATGAATACTGAAATGAACAACTGCTGTAGTTTATACATTAACTATGACTTCAACAATAAAGCAGCATTTAGCTGTTTACTTACTTTTACGAACTGAGAATTAAGTGATAAGTTATGTCTAACTGAATTTTGCCAGCCTTTATCAGCTAATTGATAATATGAATAATTTCTACTAATGAAATCATAAATTCCACTCAATGTAAGTTTACGATCTGGTTGACTTGCAATTGCCTGAGCAATAAGTTGAGCATACGAATATGGTGGTTTTGTGAACTGATCACCACGTTCTACAGCTGGGAATGTTGCCAAGTGAACAACAGGTGCAGACACAGAGCTTTGTGGCGAATTGACGGGAATAGTGCCATCACTAATAGAACCCGCATTTGAAAAAGAGGGGTCAAATTTAGATTTCAGATGAATATAATGAATGTTAGTATTATTAACAATACTATCTGTTTGTTGACGTATATCAGTCTCTGTTGCATCATCATCATTTTTACTTTGCTGACTCCTAGAAACAAAAGACATCACAGTATATTTATTAAAACGGAGTAGTACTTACAGTTAAAAGCTGAACAAAAACTACAATGAAAAATGTTATGTAACTGTACATTTCCTAATTACGGGATGAGAATGAATGATTCATTGTACAGTTCCAATACTTGCAGCTTTTTTTCAAAATACATTTTAAATATATTTTCGCTTTAATTATAGAGTCAACACAAATGAAAGTAGTAGTAGTAGTGTAATGTTTTCGTTTGCCTGCCTCAGTCTTCTCAGTAGAAGTCCATGTTCCGAACTTTTTGGTAAAAAAAACTGCACGCTCAAATTTATTGAACTAAGTTAAAACTTATATAATTAACTTGGGGAAAGTAGAGAAAATAAGCAAAAGATTACAATGTAATAAACCAGTTTGCCTAATACAGCTTTACCAGTTGCGGGGGTCATTACGTGAGTAAGGTCACACAATTTGAAGGTCAGCCAGTCAGTTGCAACGTAAGAACTTCGTACGTATGTACATTAGTTCATGATGCCATACCACATTAGCACAGAGACGCAAATGTCAAATCAAATCCCATAGTGAGAAAGATAGTAGAGGTATTAATAGTCATGAAGAAGACTAGGGTTTTAAGACATTATTCAAGAAGTATAATTCAGTGAGATAAGGTTAGAAAGACAAAGGTAAGGGTGCTGACGATTCCAGAAGATTAGGATTTGAGAGAGCTCAACGAATGGATGCACTTGTGCCATCGCAAACGATTTTGAGCCATGTCGTTCAAGGTTTCTAACCATCGCGGACCCCAACCAGGTAGTCTACATCTATCAACATGACTCAGTTCACTTGTCAGTGACTTCATGGATTTCTCCCATGTTTTGGTCTGGCCGCCCCTAGCCTTATTCCAACCTACTTCTACACCACAAAACATAGCTCGTCGAGTGAGTCGGTGGTTAGGCATTCGTAACACATGTCCCAACCACCTCAACTGATGAAGTTCCATTACTTCATCTATTGACCTGCCATCCTTAACTAGCACCCGTTTCCTAACGACAGCATTGCCCATACGGTTGTCCCACGACATACGAGCAATGCTTCGGAGAAATTGATGATCGAAGACTAGTAACCTACGAACATCTACTCTTAACGGCCATGTTTCGCATCCATATAGGAGAACGGAGCGAATTGCTGCGCACTACACCCGTCCTTTGGACAGCGAACGGATATCACGCCTGCGCCATAAGTGACGCAGATTGACAAAAGCTAATCGAGCTTTCTGTATCCGTGCTGAGATTTCGTCAGTCACCAGGCTATCAGCGCTGATGAGACACCCGAGATAAGTGAAGCGGTCAACACGCTCGACTACTTCACTCTCTATCACTAGTTCAGGTGCCGAAGCAACCCAGTCGAGAAGCAACATTTTGCATTTCGAGGGGGAAAACCGCATCCCGAACATGCTCGCATTGTTGCTTATGGTAGTTAGAAGACTACATTTTGTCAGCGTCTTCACCGAATAGAACTATGTCATCGGCATATTCTAGATCAGTAAGCGACTTTCCTGGTAGAAGGTCAACTCCTGAAAAATCTGACGAGCTTAATGTTAACTCTAAGAGGATGTCTACGACAAAGTTAAACAAGAATGGAGAGAGTAGACAGCCCTGACGGACGCCACTTGAAGTGAACAATCCCCGTGACAGTTCGCCATAAGCTCTCACTCGACCAGTAGTGTTCGACTAGAGAGCTTGTATAAGGTTAATGTACTTCTTTGGTACACCTTTTGATGACAGACACTGTCACAGAACCTCACGATCGACAGAGTCAAATGCCGCCTTGAGGTCGAGGAGCACAACTATTGTCGGACGTCTAAATGTGTGTCTGTGTTCCAGGACCTGTCGTAGTGTGAAGATGTGGTCTATACAGCCACGTCCAGGTCGAAAACCAGACTGGTATTCTCGAGTCTACTCTTCACGAGCTCCAGTTAGACATCTAAGTATAATCGAGGCTAACAATTTAGAAACCATATTAGTATTCTTGAAGCTAATATCAGAGACACTACATCTGTTGAACTGATTCCCCTGTGACTGTCACAAGATTACTTTTGTCCTTTCTTGTAGATTGGGACAATTAGCGACTGAGACCAGTCAAACGGGATTGCGTCTAGTTCCCAGATTCTACCTAAGATCTCAGTCAGTCTAACTGTTAAAATTGGACCACCATCCTTAAACATCTCAGAGGTAAGCCTATCGGGACCTGCTGCTCTACCTCCCTTTAGATTTTCTATAGCTTTCTCAACTCCATAAAGACTAGGGGGACTTACGTCGGTTTGCTATTCAGGATGACTGGAGATCGTGGGTAACCGAAGAGTGACTGAAGGCCAGTTGAACTGATACCTAAAGTGTTCTGCCCATCGATCCAGTCTCCTGGATTGAGAATAAATAATAGTCCCGTCATTTTCCGAGATGGTCTCACTCACATTCGGGTTCCTAATACCGGTTTCTTTGATAAGTCGGAAAAGTTGTCTACTGTTGCCGATCGCCGCTGCCTTTTCCATCGCTTTTGCTTTCGCCACCCACCACTGTTCACGGTCGTTACATAGGCTTTTTATAAGTCTGCGCGTAAGCCGACTACGCTCTTCATCATGTTCAGAATCAGGTGGGATGCGTTTTCGAGCATCCATCAGTTCCGTGGATGCGACTGAAATCCACGGCTTAATCTTAGCCTTATGGTTTACCGTACGATATCACTGCTATTTCCACAGCGTTCTTGATATGATTCCAACCTGACTCCGGATGGGAATCACTTCCATGGTCGCCTAACTGTTTTTCTAGTTCCTCTTGAAATATTTTCTTAGCTTGATTATCATCAAGTAAAGCCGTAAGAGGCTTCCTTACAGTGTCTTTCCTACGTCCAGTAAGCTTCAAACAAATACGAACTCGCACTAGAGCATGATCTGAATTCAAACATGTGCCCCAGAACGACTGACAGTCTTCTATCGAACCCCTCCATCGGTGGCTGATGGCGATGTGATCTAGTTGAGTCCAACGTTGAGACGACTTCGAGGGTCGCCAGGTCAGCAGATGCTTTTCCTTATGCTTAAAATTTGTTTGCTAGAAATAGGCGGTTGTCTGAGCACATTCGCAACAGACGGTCACCATTGTCTGTTCTCTGAACCGCGACACCATAACATCCACCTAGGTGTCTTTCATTTTCACTTAGTCTACCTACTTGAGCATCAAAGTCACCAGCCATTATTACTATATCAGATCGCTAAACTTTTGGAGGTCCGAAAATTTTCTGTAAAACTCATCTTTCACATCGTCTGGACTGCAGTCAGTGGGGGCGTAGGCTGATATGATGAAGAGGCAACGACGAGTGTCCCTATCCTATCGAATCCGTACTGTCCCGTTTAGTCGGACGGCGCACAAACGACTATCTACAGAGATCCATTCAGGGAGAGACTGTATGCGCGTTTCGGAGACGCAGCATACATCGATGGCGCGAGATTCTAAAGTCCTAGCTAACGAAGCCTGTTGTCCTGTGACATAATGTACGTACATTAAATGCTCCGACATGTAGTCTAGAACGGGGTTTCAAGAGACCAGGAAAGACGTTTCGTGAACTCGCATTGTTTGCATTAGCTGTGTACTGTGATAAATGAATGTGAGAAGAGTTAGTCGTGGAGACAAGACAGGTATTAGGGGGTGTAGGAAGGATTTGATTTTGACCAATTCGATCTCGTGTGCTGGTACGGGTATGAGGGTGGTTGTCACCTTCCGGCTGCCCACACCGTGGAAAGTTGTTTCTTGAGAGACCTGAAAAGGAACATAGATTAGTGTTGGTCTTGGAGACCTGGGAGTGTGACCGCAGAGCCCAACGGACAATTGCTTGAAGCCGGTCACGCACGGCCTTTTTATGAGAAGTTTTTTTAGTATTAGCTCCGCTCTTGATAGCCCTTAGTGGGCACCCTTACCCAAGGAGACGGAAATCCGTGACGTAGGGTGAGGTGTGACATTTTTAGGGCCGACCTTTTCTAACGATTCGTTCCTTGTAAGAAGGCAGCATCGCTCAGATGCTGGTTGTCCGAGGGAAACACATTACTGCTGTCACACCCAACTGCAGTCAACAGTACGACTTCGCCCTCAGACCTTGGGTAGCTGCTTTTAGTCTCATTATTCTCCAATCGACCTGCCTGGCATGGTAGAACCTTCAGGAACATATGTTCCAGCCAATATAGCTCGGTTGGGTCATCACGATAGGCAAGCCCGACCACCACGTCAAGGTAGCAGCTTAGGTCGGGCAATTTGAAGGTACAATCCCGTTACGTTTTACATCATTACTGAAAGTATAAAACTGACTATAAAGTGACGCGAGAAGTAGTGCCATATCAGAAATTTTGTTATCAACACAAAATGTTTACCTCAAAATTCAATGAGGAAAATTTGGAATAATTATTCGGTGAAAGGTGGAGAGTTACTTACGTATCTGAGGTGATATTTACTTCACAAAAAGATATAGCATCAGATGTGTTTTTCTGTACAGTAGAGTGGTGAACGTTGCCATAAGTTGTTCTACAAGCCGGCATTAGTGCTTGTTTGCGACGTGTGCGACTGGTTGTTGCACTTGAACTTTCTGGGGGTTCAATAAAATTGGACGTCTTTGAACTCATACTTGGAGAAGGTTGATTATCACTGACCACAGATGAAAAACTATTCGCAGACTCGTATGAATCCAGTTCAAAGGAATATATGTAATCTGTACAACTACTACTCTTTTCAAAAGGCATGCAACATTGTTCTATTTGGATGCAAATAGATGTGCTTGGGAATCGAAGAACACATCTTTCAAAAAATAAAATAAAAACAAAACATATCATAAACATATTCATGATTAGTAATCATACACAGCTCAGTTTATAGGTAGAGAATTGTTCTGCTCAAAGTACTGATGACTTTGACTTATCTAACAAGACTATTGTCTGTGTAATATATGTACAGTAACAGACATTTAAGTTGACTTTTATTTATGAGAAACAAGAAAAAATTTGCTACCTGAAGAGGACATCAAGAATAGTTAAAAAAGAATGAAAATGTAAACTTTTTTTCAGTCTTGATTATTCGAAGTGACTCCTTGCATAAACAATCATAAAACTAGGTAAGTTAGCCCCAACCAACCACCGAGTATCGTGGTAATGCTGAGTCATCTCACTCACTTCAGATGGGGAGCATGTGGTCAATGATCCCAAGGAAATGGATGGCACGCACTTATTTCCATAACCGGCTACGAATGAACGAATGATCCTCAGAAGGATCCAAGCGATCCACTAAGAAAGACCTCTGCTTCAGTTTCAGTGTCCAGGTGATATCCTTGTTCAAATAAATACGTAAAACGAATACTAATGAGAAAAAAATTATGATTTACTAACCTGGAAAATTAATGCCAAAAGAGTGTAAATACCACATCTATTTTATTATACTTTGGTGCTCCACTTTACTTAAATTTCATGTTGGTTATATATTTTATCACATTAATTCCAATATCTAACGCACTCAGAAGCTCATGTATATTGAAAGCTGTGGCCTCCTTAGAGAGTATCAAGTCCCTGGATGGTTTTTGAAGTCTTCACTTTGATCCAGACAAGACAACAGATGACTTGAATGTCCTTTGGAAAGAACTGGTATTGGTGTTTACTATTTATATGAACCTATATTCAAGATTCTAGTGAAGTATTACAAAATCGGTGATCGAAAAGTGTTAACCAGATGGAAGCGATGTCTGAACCTTGTAATCCTTTCTAACTTATCTTAGCTACTGGTAGTAAGATCGATGTCAGTGAAAAAATTTTTGTTTATGACGCGCAAAATAATACTCTCAGAGAAAGTTCTGTTTCAATAGTGACACCGATTAGGCATTTCTGTGCTCCTGGACTAATAGATCCATATAAAACAAAGAGGGATATACACAAAGGATTCGAAGTTTTGAAACATCAGAAATCACTAGACAAAGATGATCTTCCTACAGAGACGATCTTCAAGTTCTCACCAGGGAGCTGACTGGGTTCTTTAGAAAGATATGGAATACAGTGTGGCCTATTGTGGTAGGATAAAGCAACAAACGTTTCGATTTGTAAAAGAGGACTAAGTAATAACGTAAAAATTACAGAGAAACACGGGTGCTCTCCATTGATCTGTCATTTTCAAACAGCTAAAAAGTGGAATCTGGTGCGTGAATTCATGATTATAAAAAGTCACGTCTCATAAGCACAGAAATATGATAATGTCAGGTCAAATCCCAGAGTAGTGAGGAGGGAAATACAAATCAGTGAAATAAATAAAAACTAAATAAAATTGAATTCAGTCCTCTGAATCTTAATGCGGTTGGAGAGGCTATGGATAATCTAAGGTAAGGGACAGCAGCAGACCCTGACAGATTAACCCTTGAGATTTTTAAGGATGGTCGCCCAGTTTTAGCAGTGAGTTTGGCTGAGATCTTGGGTAGGATTTCTGGAAATGGGCGTAATCTCATCTAAATGGTCTCAATTGCTGATTGTCAAAAATTATAAGAAAGGAGAATTTTTTCTTGACAATCACAGAATAATTAGTTTAACTAATTTAGCCTCAGTAATACTTCAACGCCTAACTAGAGCTCGTGAAGATCAAACTCGAGAAAGTCAGGATAGTTTCGGACTTGAACGTGGATGTATAGACCATATATTTGCACTTCGTCAGGTCCTTTACACAGACACACGTTTAGGCGTCCAACAATAGTTGTATTTCTCAACGTTGAGGTGGATTTGAACTCTGTAGATCGTGAGATTCTCTGGCAGTGTCTGTCACTGAAAGGAGTATCAAAGAAGCACATTAACCTTTACTCGAACACTATTGGTCGAGTGAGAGCGTATGGTGAACTGTCATCGGAATCGATTATTTCAAATGGTGTTCGTCAAGGTTTTCCACTTTCGACATCCTTATTTAGCAGTCATAGACGTGCTTTTAGGGATAGGATTTTCGTCGTTTAACCTCTCAGAGGTTGACGTACTAGGAGATCCCTTTGTCGACTTAGGGTCAGTCAGTCAGTTACAACGTAGAACTTCGTACGTAGATAAATCATTTCACGTTGCCATACCACATTAACACAGATACGCAATCATCAATTCAAATTTCATATTAGTAGAGGTAGTAGAAGTATTAATAGTAATCGGAGAAATTAGGGTTCGAAGATATTATTTAACAAGTACAATCTAATGAAATAAACTTTAAAAGAAAAAGATAAAGGTGATGAGGAACACTGAAGGTTAGGAATTGGGCGAACACAAAGAGTGAATGCACCTTTGCCATTACAAACGGTTTTGAGCCATGTCATTCAAGGTCCCTAACCATCAGTTACTATCATCGCGCGGGTCCCAACCACGCAGTAGACACCAAGTTAGGCGTCGAAGTATTACTGAGGCTAAATTAGTTGAACTAATTATTTTGTGATTGTCAAGAAAAAATTCTCCTTTCTTATAAATTTTGACAATCAGCAATTGAGACCATTTAGATGAGATTACGCCCATTTCCAGAAATCCTACCCAAGATCTCAGCCAAACTCACTGCTAAAACTGGGCCAACATCCTTAAAAATCTCAGGGGTTAATCTGTCAGGGTCTGCTGCTGTCCCTTACCTTAGATTGTCCATAGCTTCTCCAACCGCATTAAGAGTCCGAAGACTGTTTATCACTTGTCTTTTCCATATTAATCTGTAATTTTAACCCATTATGTATAGTTACGTAATCTACTTCCTTGTGATTTTTCTTGGTTAAATTTTTATCTCGTGTGGTGAAATATTTTGATATCCTGTACCAGAAGTATCACATATCATAAATGAAATTCAGAGGAGTTTAACATAGAAACCATAAACGTGGATAAACTGTTAAGTGTCAATACAGCATTTTGAACTGGCACGCAGTGGGGATGAAAATCGCAGTAACGATAACCCGACAGTCTTTTAGGAATGGCGACATGAACTGATGTACTTACGTACGAAGTTCTACGTTGCAACTGACTGACTGACTGACTGACTTTTAGGAAACACTTACCTCGGTGGAATAGAGAGAAAGTAGGAACTGTACGGTCGAAATGTCCGGTCAATAAAAATTCCATTCTTGCCTTTACACTTCAGTTTCAGGCAATCAGTATTCCAGGTTATTTCTAAATGTTGACGGGAAACGTAAGAAGAAGAGCCTATATCAATATCCACAGGGTGAATGGCTGAACTCCGACCTATTGTAATTTGATGCTTCACCATTTCATATGTGTTCTTCCCCATTGTTAGACGCGCATAAACCGTCAGCATGTTTCAATAGCGGCGATACTAGAAAACACTTGAAACTATACCACAGGAGTAGTTAATATATCCATAACGCCAGTAGCGACACTGAATTCTAATGATAAATATCGAAAGTGATGCTAGAGGTATTTCATTTACTAAAGTAAAAATTATTACAATGAAACAAGAACACTTAGTTAATAATAAAATAAATACTTTTGATTACCAAAATTTTTAAGATTTATTACACTTAAGAAAGTAAACGTCCATGTACCCGTTTTGTGTGAAGGCTAAAGATACCGATCGATTTAGAAAACGAATAAAATAGTGAGATTTGAATTTATGTTTCCATAGTTGAAAACTAAATCCTATCAACTAACCAGTTGAAAGGAATGTGGGATCAAACATCAATGTTAGACTGCCTAAATGGTAAAACTTCATGTAAACACAATGAGGGGAAATTAATAGGAAGGGAACCGGAAGATTTGAAATATCATGGTTAACAAAAACAACGACTACTACCTCAAATGGTTATACTAAACATTATGAACAGACTAATAAAGTTGGAGAGAAGGACTTAGACGAGTAAACCACATTATTTATCTGGGAAGTTTCATCAGCCCCAACGCGTTCGGCGAAATCTCGGCAAATAATCAGAAAGTCTGTTTGGCTTCCTCTAACTTGTCGATCTCTCAATGAATACACGAGAATACTGCGCAGCAGTTTGCTGTTTTACTTTATAGCAGCGGGACGTGATATTTAGAGATATTTGCAGGTCACATAGATGCCTATGGAGCACTACATATCTTTGTCTAGACCGCTGAGTATGCAAAAGACATGTTGGATGCACTGGACTAGGTTATGATTGCGAACCGAGTGATGAGGTAGTTAGCTGTCATCTACTAGGGTGATTCGGACGTGATACATACGCCTAACAACCGCCTAACTGGATGCGCAATGTTGAATTATGTAGGAGTAAGTTGGAAGACAGCAAGTAGCAGCCATACCAAAACATGGTATTGATACATGAAGCCTTATTATTAAGTTGAGCAATGGTGGTAGATTTAGACTAACTGCTTGGTTTCAGTAGAATTTTCATAATAAATGGTTAGACTCTGAATGACATGACTCAAAATTGTTGGCAATGGTGTAAATGCTTCCAATCTTTGCATTACCTTCGAAGCCTGAGTTCTAAAACTATCTTACGCCTTTAATTCCACAAACTTATATTCTTTAGTCGAGTTGAATTACTTATTTCCAGTCTTTGGTACTACTGCTGTTACCGCCCCTACTACTCTGGGACTAATATTATCAATTATATCTCGATGTGTTGTTAATGTGTGACAACTTAAACCGACACACACAAGTAGGGCTCTAAATTGAGTACGACTGAGTGAACCACGTATGAAATAGAGATTTTGTCCACCAATCGTCACATAATTCTACAATCCCTCCTACATTCCCCACAGACAGTAGTTTTTGTGTACAACTTCCCAGTTTTGACAGCACTGTACACCAGTTGCGTCAGTATCACCTGTAAGCACTTTTGCATTAGTGGCAAATAGAGGTTATTATGGAACGATTTAATAAGCTACCCTTCAATCGATGTCGTGAGTTAACATAAACTCCAAAGAAATGCATGTTTATCTTGTATACCCTCACACTTACTGTCATCAGTACACTAAATTTACAAATGGTGATTCTGTTTAGCCCAAAGACTTGTATTTAGTTTATGGGTTTCTTCAAAATCCGTGAATATTCGGTTTGCAGTGGAAAGCATCTCTCTATCAGTCTACAACGACCTAGATGTTGATATTTCGAACCTCATTAGTCTCAAGAACTTACCTCCTCCTATGATAACAAGCGTATTTGGGATACGTTACATCACAAATCTACTAGCAACCTTATGGGGAAATTCCAAACACTAGGAACAGGGGCACAGAACAGATCCTGGAATTTTTATCCGATTGATCTCTCTCTATAGGATAAATTCTCAAGTCTAATAGGGTAAAAGTTTCACAAATAGATACTAGGCAATTAGGTCTGGATTTTCTGCAGTTAGATAAAATAAAGGCATTCTAGCTATATAAATATATATATATATATACGTATATATTAGTAGACTGTCAAAATCTTACATCTGGCCCTCCAGAGTCGAGTGAAGGCGCGCGCTCTGGGCTGACGACCTTAAGGGAGAAATTCAAATGGTCTCAATAGTGGTGTACGAATTAGAAGCTTTCACTTAAATGGCTTTCAATAACTAATATCTTCTTCACGAGCTAGTATAAACCAATTAATTTCTTCTCGCTCGATTTCTTTTCTATCGGTACGGTTCCAGGTATGTGGGATTGTCCAATGGATAGTTGTCTAGCCACTCAACTGAACTAATTCTAGTCGGTTTCAGTTGTTTGTGTGTCCTGTGATTCGACTTATCTCGCTTGTTTCAGGACACTGGAGTTTCTGAATACCAGCAGCCATCACGTAACCAGATCAGTTAGTTGCAACGTGAAGAATAATAAGGAGAAAAGTCTAGTGCCAATAAGAACATTTGATAACTAAGCGAATAAATGTATAATGTAACTCATTAATTGCAAGTGTATGCGAATGAAAGGCGATAAAGATAGTAAGCGAGATAGATTAAGTTAGCGATCTTAGGAAATGGCGATAATAATGACTAGAAAGTCTGAAGACATGCATCAGGAGCAGCTGCTCCACGAGGTAGATGATAATCCGTATGTGAGTACGTGTTTATCAAGTTTCTTCCACTGAGGGGGCTGTGGTCATCCGGGTTGGGAGGGCATTCTAAGTTGCAACGACTCTTAATGAGAAAAAGTGTGCGCGAACCTGAATGTTCTTTCTTTGATGCGCAATTTTTCCAGGATTTCCTCGAGGAGCATGGTGGTGATGTTCCGGTAAGATGCTCACGTTGGAATGATTTGGTGTGCTTAATATGTTTTGCGTCATCATCAGATCACCTCTGTTTCTCTTGTATACAATATATACTAGTGTTTTATAGTGCTTACATTCTTCACATAGAATCTTACATGTTTCAGACTCGGTAATGTACAATAAAATAGACGATGCGAGTTATGTTATTGGCATGAGGATAACTAATGCTGATTGAGAATCGAATCCAGGTATGTACAAGTCTGTAAGTAACAAAAGGTTGTGAGGTAAATTTGCATAGATCATCTCGTTGAAAACGAAATCAGTCCAGTCGCCATAATTGTTTCAAGGTAGTAAATTACAAGACTGTTAGCTTTCTTTATAAAAGGTTTTGCTAATGACCTAGGTTTCTCGGTCGCTAATGAATAATGATACGATATTTTTTCTTCATACGGCTGTAGAATTTTATCCCTATTCTCTTTCATGTATCCTTTTACTTTTCTGTGCTATGTTCCTTAATTAAGAGCATTCCCTTCCTTTCATTAGGTGCAGACATTCTTCATGTTTTAGTATTCGGATTGGTGAATGTCTTAAATAATGTTAGGTGCAACTAGAAATTCAGCATATCCAACCGATTTAGCATAAACTGAAGTGTATTGTTAGTTTTCCCTCCACTTATCGATCAGCCTTCGCTGGTGTGCAAGTTTTCTATTAGCTACAGACTGATGGCGCTTTGTTGGAGTGTTTTATACATGGTCTCAGTCAAAACAAGCAAATTGGCGTATTAGGAGTTAGGAGGTTAGTTCTGAGGCTGAATTTTGAGCCTTCTACATGTTCAATAGCTTTCCCCGGTTTTATGTTGTCCATCCAAACATCCAAAAACACATTGGGTTTTTTAAGATTTTCTATGAGCTGCTCAAGAACCCAATGAACTACTGGAAAGTCAACTTCAATTAATAATCCAAATAGCTCATAACCATGATATGTTTTTGTATTGCTCTTAAATGAGTCAATCTCTCATGGATGTTGTTTGAGTAAGTTCTGCGCTTCTAATAGGAAAATTATCAAAGGTGTTTGCCATTTAAATTTCTATTTGATCAGCTTTATCTCAAATCTGCTAATTATTGGGGTCCTGTAAGACACCCACTAATGTATGACATCCTTAACCAAGTTACTATAGCGAATATTCATGTATTTTTCGTTACATCGCCTAATCGTAAAGTCGCGTCCGACCCATTGTCTAGTAAGTCATATGTATACATGTATCCAGAAGGGCTTTGGAATCAAACGGGTACAAATCCCAAACTGAATAAAGGGAAGAGCATCAACCCTTCTTAACCACAGGTTCTATTCAGCGAAGAATCTTATGGCGTCATTGTTCGCAACCTTGGAAATCACGTCTTGAGAATTAGAATCACTTTATCACTCGACGTCTAGGCTTAGGACAGTTAAAACATAACATGAAATTCTCCATCAGTCCTACTTTGCATTGGGTTTTGCGGCTAATACTTGCGAACAAGACTGCTCTTAAATATTAGTGTCTACTGGCACTAGCTTTTCCAAAAATTCTAAAGGGCCATGTAATTCCTCCTTCAGGACTTTCAACTGGATGTCATCTGAAGTTAAATCGCATCTATTGTGATGATCTTACAATTCGTTTTATAAATGTAGAACAGTTTAGTCATGGTCAAGGCTATCTAAAAGTTGAAGATTTGTTTAAATAAATTTTGTGGACGGTCACGTTACCCTAATGCAATGAAGGATCATCTAACAGCACTTTTACATATGCTTCATCAATGTCCCGTGATCTGCCAAATCACTTATGTAGAATAGTAACTACCAAGCGTCTCAAGCATTGACCGGAAAGTATTTTCCCCTGATTTGAGTTCAGAAGTGCTACGTTGTCATTTTGTTTTCATGCTGCAGTACCAATCTGCAGGTCCATGAGTCGAGTCCTTGCACTTTAGTTTGTTTAATGGTGTCTGTAGAATTCTTTTTGAATGTTTTGTTTTTTGGAAAATCCCTCCATGTTTACATATTTTTGCTATGATATGACGGACTTTTTCTTTTGACATTTTTGGTACTTTATTTGATTCCAATTTGAGATTTTATCATTGTATATTGTTATTCTTTCTATATTT